GCAGTTTTCTGTTAACGGTAAGGTATATTAGAAATATAAAAAATATATCTGCTTTTTCGAGGGGGAAAAGCAGTTAGTATCGACGTAGGGAGAAGGAATTTATAATGTTTATTCTTTCATAAAAAAAAAAATTATATAGAACACTACTAATGTTCGTTCATGTTAGTAGCTCGTGATAATAAAAAGGGTACTGTATATTTTACAGTTTCCTGACCCCCGAAAAATGCAGATCAACCTCACAGGATTCTTGAATGGAAGGAATGCCCGATCTTTCATGGGTGAATTATGGGACCTTTTGGTCTCTGCTCAGGAAAGTGTTACGGGCATTCCAGAGGCTTTCTTACAACAAAAAAAAGATCAAATTAAGAAACGTTTGGTAATTATTAAATTTTCACATTGTTATTCATTAATATTATTCCATGAACTAATCTACTAATAATAAAACAATTGAATAACTAGATTTTGACATTCAATAAAATGTTCAATTCAATCAATTTTTTTGATACATACAATTCAATTTAGATCTTTTATGTTTATTTACAAATAAGTAATTTATGAAATCAGGAAGAGCAAGAGAAACTCCAAGCTTCTTTGGCGGAGAAAGAAAAGGAGAAGGAAAGAGAAAAGGAAAAAGATGAAGCAGAAAACAAGATAAAGAAAGAAGAAAAAGAACGAGGTTCATCGAAAGAACGTCGGAGAGATCGAAGTAGAGATCGTGATAGGGACAGGTATTTCTTTAAACTAATAAATATTAGATATTTTTATATAATTTTATATACATTTTAAATATATATCATTATTTGTAGAAAAAGAAGTCGATCGAGAGATCGACACAGAGATCGTGACAGATCGAATCGCAAACGACGATCCTCTTCGAGATCACCTAGTAAAAATTCGCTTAAAGACAACGGGAAAGATATGTCTGAAATTAAAGTGGAACGAGAAGATTCACCACAACCCGAAAATGCTATACCGCTCATGCCTGTTAAAACAAAACCGTAAGTTTTTATATTTCATTATTTAAGATAAACTCTTAAAGATTATTTATGAAGGTGTTTCAACAGAGAAGCTGCTGTCGCAATTTCTCGATTGCAAGCAAAATTAATGAGCATCGCTGATGGAAAAAAGAAAAATAATCGTACTCCTTCTCCCGAGTCACTAGAAAAAGCGAAAAAATCTAGATCTAGATCAAAATCACCAATGAATCGCTCCAAAAAATCTAGATCTAAATCCCCAAGTCGAGATTCAAAGACACGTCGTTCTCGATCACCTGCATCTAGATCAAGACGATCTCGATCTAAATCAAGATCAAGGCGATCCAGATCTAGATCAAAATCTAGAAGATCCAAATCCAGGTCGCAAGATCGTTCAAAATCAAGACGTACCAAATCTAAATCGCCAAGATCGCATTCGAGATCTCGTTCACGATCTAAAAAGTCACGATCAAAAAGTAATGATAGAAGTAAATCTAGAAAGTCAAGATCGGACTCGAGCGATTCAAGATCATCAAAATCTCGTTCAAAATCACCTGATAAGAGAAAGGATAATCTCGATTCTAACAGAAAACGAGATGCAAGTTCAAGCAGTAGTTCCGAATCGGAAGAAGATAAAGGAGCAAAAGATAAAAACGATTTCGAAATTAGAAAGAAAAAAGATGGAGTACAGGCAAAGAGATCATATAGAAAAACGAATAAAGATGACAGTGGCAGTGACAGTGATTCAAGTCGAGAAAGGAAATCTGTACCTAAACGAAGGAGTCCAACGCCACGAAAAGATAGAGGTCGATCTAAGGATAGAGATAGATCGCGAGATAGATCACGTGATAGGTCTCGAGATAGATCTCGGGATAGATCTCGAGATAGGAATAGAAGGTAAATAAAATATAAATATTTTATTATTATAGATTGTTGAAAAATTTATTAATCTTAATTTTTTAATTAATTTTAGGAGATCCATAGATAGAGAACGTGAAAGAAGAAGAGAGCGAGAGCGAGAAAGAGAGCGAGAAAGATTGGATAGATATAGCGGCAGTCGTAGTATGCGACCTCCATCTGTGCGTAGAGCACCTAGTAGACGGAGGTAAGATAAATTTCATTAACAATCAAAATTTATCATAAATAAATCATATTTTATATAAATAAATATTACTAATATTAATAATCTATAATTATAATTTTTAATTTTAATTTAGAATTATAATTTTTTAATTTAGAAGCCCTCATCGTAGAAGCCCGGTAAGATATCGCCGTAGATCGCCCAGTCCTGGGGATAGGCGCCGAAGAAGATCCCTTGATCGAAGACGAAGATCATCAGAAAGAAGAGACAGACGTCGATCTCCAGATCGTCGTGACAGCAGACGTCGTTCTCCAGACGGCCGGGATCGATCCCTCAGGTACGATAGATCTTCCTCTCGTGACAGATCGAGTAGACGGGACCGTTCCAGAGACAGGGACAGAAGGGATAGAGATAGAAGATCTAGATCTAGAGATCGTAGATCCAGATCGAAAGATCAAAGGTCATCGGTGGATCGTTCGAGAGATGGAAAACGATCTCCCGATCGCTTAAGAGAAACTAAGGAGAAGATAAAGGACAAGAAGGTGGATGAAAAAATTAAAAGATCAACTGATACGGGATCGCGAAAAGAATTACGAAACGGAAGGTCTAAGTCAAGTAGCTCGGAAAGTAGCGAAAGTAGTTCCTCTAGCAATGAGGATGAAGTGACCAGGTTAGTAAACAAATTACCTCATACTTTTACATTTTGTTACAGACCTTACGGTTGTTGTTGGAGCGTAAAGCAGCTATGTTGTGTTTCCTGCTTAGCAGTGAACAAATATTCTTATGTTCTCTAATAATATTTTTCGCTATCTATGTGCAGAAAATCTCTTGAACGGAAATCATCTCAGGAAAAACGAGAACGTGAGAGGGAGCGAGAACATGTAGATGACAAACGTAAAGAAAAGGAAAAACCTGCCAAGGAAGAATCTATCAAACGACCTGAAAAGGACATCAAGAAAGCTGAACCTGTAAACATCAAGAAACCAGATCCTAGCGTTTCTCCTAAAAAACTTCAATCTGCTACACTTCCTGTAACTAGGCATAGAGTAAGTCGTATTATATTGTTTATGTATCAAATATTTTTATACAGATTTTATAACAATTATCATATTTATATTATTTAGTTTTCAAAGAGTTTATCACGAACACCATCTCCATTTAAAAAGACTGAAGACATTATAGCTGCAGTTAAAGTTAAACAATCGAAGTAAGTTTAAATATATGTTTTAAATATTTTTCAAAATAGAAAAAAATCTTTTAATTTAAGCGTATATTATTTGTTTTTTTCTTTCTTTCTTTCTTTTCTTTTTTTTTTTTTTTTGTTATTATTTATAGAGAAGATAACAAGGAAGGATCACCAAAAGAAGAAACGAATTTTTCATCCGCAGATACTTTTCCGTTAAAAAAAGATGACAAATCGGTCAAATCACTTAAAGTGGCATCTGAGGATAAAAAGTCAGGTCAAAAATCTTCTGAACCAATACTCTTAAAAAAACCAGCAGAAGTTGTGAAGAAATCAAAGAAAGAAAAACGCGATGGTTCTACAGATTCTAATGACAGTGAAAGTGAAGGTAAAAAAATATTAGAAGTATGTTTTTTCAATATATTATTTTCAATAATATTATTTTTTTTTTTTTTTTTTGTAGGAAAAAAAAGACCAAGAAAATTAGAGAAATCTAGGAAATCCAGAAAAGCTTCTACAGATGAAGAGAAATCAGAAAAATGTGGTTCTAGCTCAGATTCTGAAGAGGAAAGAAAACATACAGAAAAAAATAAAAAACTTAAAGACACAAATCGAGGAGGTAAATTTTAATTATATCAATTTAATAATACTCATTATATTTTATAATTTATAATTTTTATTATTTTGATAATGTTCACAGATTCATTAGATGAACGTGCAAAAGACAGGAAAGATAGTAGAAAACGGGAAATCAATGAAAACGAATCTCGCAAACGATCAAAAAAAGAATTAGAAGAAGAAACAAAAAAATCAAAAAGATCAAGAAAAGATTCTTCTTCAGGAGATGAAGATCAAAAGATAAAAAGAAACAAAACTGAAGATGATAGGTCCAGATTACGAAAATCTAAGAAAGATTCAAGTTCAGATGATGAACCGAAAAAAACACGAAAACGAAGAGATAGTTCTTCGGAGGACGAAAAATCAAGAACAAGAAAATCAAGAAAAGATTCTACAAGTGAAGATGAAGGAAAAGTGCGATTGAAGAAATCTAAACGAGATTCAAGTACAGATGATGAAGAAATAGGAGAAAAAGATGCAAAGAAAAAGAGAAAAGCTGATGATAGTTCAGATGAAGAAAAAGTGAAGAAAAAACGTAAAAAGAAAACTAAAACAAGTACCAGTGAATCAGAGGTAATTATTTAATTATTTCATCAATTTGATTTATGCAAATTATAAATTTCTATTTTTTATTTGTAATTTGTATCCAGGAAAGTGAGGTAGAAGAAAAGAAAAAGAAAAAGGATAAGAAACACAAAAAACATAAGAAACATAAAAAGCATAGGAAACATAAAAAGAAGAAGGTAGCAGATTCTGACGAATCTGATGTAAGTGAAGGTAATACAGAAGAACTTGAAAAAAAACTTCGTGAAAAAGCATTAAAATCTATGAAAAAAGGACATAGTATAGAAGGAAGTGATTGAGAGTTTAAAAATTAACGAGGGTGTGTAATGTGTGTACCTCTGTATTACAATGCACTTGCTCTAATTATATCACGAATATGTTTCTGTTTATTATTATCGATAAATAGGATTTTATCGTATCACAGTTTTTTTGTGTAAAACAAGTCTGATGTTATAAAACAGATTCAACTTTTAGACGAAGAAATCTAATTTTTATGACTCTAAATATTAAGATTACGAAGTTAAATACAATAGTTGGTTTTTTTTTTATTCTTTTTATTTTTTTTTTTTTTTTATTTTTTAATTAACAGAAAAAAGTAGTGTATGTTGCTACCATAGGAACAGTAATTTTTTGTGCCACTTGTATGATTTTTACATTTTTCAAAGTTGATACAATGAGCAAAAGTATAGTATCCTTTTATAGTTTATAAGTTAACTAATTAATATTTTTTTATAGCATGATAAAAGTAACTTGTAAATTTAATTTGTGTAAAAATAATTTTTCATTGAATTATCTTATAATTATATCAAAAGAATGAATTGCAGCTTAAAGATAAATACGTATCTCGTAACAAATCACTACACCCTCTTGTTGCGATATTCATTCACATAAATTATATAATGAACTTTAATCTACATTGCTGTAAATTTATTTAGATCTACAAATTACTACTGGATTTATACGTGATGTGACTTTCACGTATGCTGTAGTATCAAAAAAATACATGATTTTCAAAAAAAAGCGTATTTTGTATTTTACATAATATATAAATAATCATCACATATTCTTATGTGTTCTACATAATAAAGAACATTTAATAAATCTGTTCATATTATAAACGTATTTATAATTTGGCCAACATTGATTCCCAATCAGGAGAACATATAAGCGTACTATTTACTGGTCCTAAATTAATTAAATCGCCGTTTAAATTTTCGGTATCCACTTTTGTTGCAATGAGATCCTGTAATATAAGTTAATAATATAAATAATATCGTTTCATATATTTTCGATGAATTTTAAATACTTACTTGTCGAAAACTAAGATGCGATCCGACATCGACGATTAAATTATTTTCTCCCAATAATAAACGTGCTTTACCCGATTTTAAGATTTGTAATTTACCTAAAATACCAGGTTTTAAACTATTTAAAGTACAAAATTCCGTTTCCGATTTATTTTCATCCTCCTTTTCGTAATTTGAACGATTTGGTTTAGTATCTTCTGCACTGCTTACTAAACCTGGCAAACAGTCTGGAAACTGTTCTATGGCTGTAGTTTATCTCTTAGTCTATTATCAGATATAAAATTAAATGTACATTATATAAATCTTTAATATAAATTCTTACCTGCATTAAGATGTATGAATGTATTTTATTATTAATAATTTTAGGAATGCTATCTAAAAATTGATCTTTTATTTCTTTCTCAGATTTGGGTATTTTATATTTTGATTCTTTCTTTGGTGATAATACTGAAAATAACAATAATTATTAGAAAATATTTATAAAGATAAAAAAAAAAATACTTACCCTCTCCATTTTCTAAAATAATCGGTTTTCTATCTATTTCTTCTTCTAATACTTCTTTTTTAATTTTTATTTCTGCTTTACACGATTTTACTGTAAAAAATAAAAATCAATGAAATATACTTTTTGAAATTAAATATTAATATTTCAATGAATAATAAAAACCTTCTTTTATCATTGGTAATACAACGGGAGCATTACTAAGGTTTATAGGCTCTCCATCATCAATAAAATCGTCTCTCAGTAATAACTTTATCTTTTCTTCTTCCTCAGCTTTATTAAAGCTACGATTCAAATCTAATTTTGGTTTTTCAAGATATACTTGAGAACTTCTATCACTATCTCTAGATCCACTACTATAACGTTTGCCTGCTGTACTTGTTATTCCAGTAGACCAGATACCACTAGACTATAACATATTATAAAATTTATAATAACATATTATAACATATATAAAATTTTGTAAAATAATGTTTTGTAAAATATTTCTTAGGAGAATGTTTTTAATATACTTGAATTAAATTATTTCCTTTTCCACGTCCTCTATCAGATCCTCTATCAATATTTCCTCTACCTCGTCCTTTAATATAATCTCTACCTCTACTTGATTTTGGAGCATCGTTTTGTACTGCATCTCTGTAAAAATAAATGTCATTTTATTAATTTACAAACTAAATCATTATCAATATTCACATCATTATATCCTTATTAAGTTAACTTACTCCTTTTTCTTTGTTCTCTGAACATTCAAATTTGGTGTATATACTTTCTTGGGTTTTTCAGTCTTAATATTACCTCCCAAAGTTAAATCTCTTGGTAAACGAAAAGAAGTTAATCTAGTTGTACTTGATAAACCAGGTTCCGTTTTAATATTTTTTATAGGTACAGGCATTGATGTTCCAGGTTCTACCTTTATTTTAACATTTAATGGAAGTGAATTACTTGTATTTCCAGATTTATCAGAAGCCATTCTTAATTGTTATGATTCAATTGACAATTAATACTTTTGTTATCTACAAAAAAGTAATTTTAACATTTTAACATATTTTTAACAAATCCACGCGTTATAATATATATCATGTTATATATAAATCGATTAATTTTGGTGTGTAAAACAAAAATATAAATTTATTCTATTAAAACCAGTTTTTATTGAAAAAAAAAAAAAAATAATGGAAAAATTGTAGATTAATTTTCGTTTTCTATGGATTAAAATCATATGTAACACATTATATTTCATGAAACATAGTTGTTTCTAGGAATATATCGTAATTTAAATACATACATTCTCACTGCGTCCATAGAGGGTTTTACTATAACAATATTTTAGCACAGTACATCACATAACCTCTAAAATACACAATAGTTACAAATTCTTGAATAATAAAATGGTATTTATCAAGATATATATATATCAATAAAGAAATTTAGCATTATATAACAAAAAATTTCATTATCAATATCAAACATATTTTACAACATAGTTCATAATTTTTTTGAATGTACGAAAAGTAAATACGTTATACTACATACTGCAAATGCATCACACGTGTTTTGCTATACTACTCCATTTTGATTTGTTTATAATGTTTAAAATATATAATATTTCTGTATGTAATTTTAGTTGAATGAATATGATTATAAGGTAGAAAAATAAAAATATATTAATACAATTAAAAACAAAATTAATTTATTATGAATCCGTCATATTGTTATCTACAATTATGTATATTATGCTCTGCTTGTTATACTTTTATTGCTTGAAAGTTAAATTTTTCTTTATAAAAATAACATAATAACGCAGATAGAACAATTTTGTGTTAGATAAAATTTTATTTCTATATTTTGTACATCTTTTTATATTATTTGAAAACTAAAATTTTGATATATTTGTATTTCATTTCAATGAATCGTGGAGTGCAAGTGTCTCAGAAAAGGCGGGCATTTTTAAAATCATTATAAGACATTTGAAAGTAAGCGCGATTTAATTCTGGCATCTTAGAATCACATCAGGATATTTCAGATAAGCGATAACGCGAACAGTAACCTCCTGGAAACGATGGAGGTTACGATGTTTTTAGGATGACTAGTACTAGTGACATGAACAGACTCCGTGTGATGAGGTCATCGTATGGTTTTTTAGCCGCGCCGGCAGTCGCAACGCGGAGCGCCCGAACGCCGGCTGCTACGTATAATCCTGCGGTAGGGATATGCTTGCCATGTGCCTATTCACAACATATCGTTTCTCCGATTGCGAGTGCAACGTGTCCTCCTTCATCCTCGGTGTCACGAAACTGTCGTTCGAACGCGAACACATTTACTTTCCTCTTAATTCGTCCGCTTCGACTTACTTACTCTACGATTGATTACTTTTCAGTGAGTTTCGAGTTCATACAAATTTATGATTATGAGTGCCTGATTTCAAATATATAATTTCTATCGGCTAGACAGATGACCGATTTAAAAAGCTACCAGTCAGCTACGGTTCTTAAACCTGTTTCTCTTTCCCTTAGACATGGTACATGTCGAGTTTTCGAGTAGTCTGCTTTCATGATACCTATTTATGATACCACCTTTTCGATCAAAATTCTTTCTAGTATTTGATCAGATAAAAATTTATCCACTAGATAATACATATATTTATCTTAACATAGAATCAAATGCTATACGATCAAAACATGTTTATACATAAACTTTTAAAACTTGAGATTATTTTCAATTGACATTCTATATGAATACGTCTCACAAATTTGAACACTTTTTACTTTTATCTTTCATAAATATTCAAAACTTTTTGTGTACCGCGAGAAAATGAAGAGGGCGGTGCTTCGAAGGATACCACGTGTTGTAGGGTATGCGACGAACAAAATATTGCGGCGCAGGCGCGAACCACGGTACTGAAGTCGGCGAGTTTCAAATGTCTTATCGCAGATTGCAAAGCGTGGTTCTCCATGAAACGGTGCGCGTTATATCCACGAAAGCGTTAATATTAATTCTCGCGTATTGTTGGCGGAATGCTACACAGAGTGTCAAATTCAAGATTGTTCACGAGAATCGATAACCATTATATCGATTAGATCGTACACTCGATATAAGTATGAAATGAGATTTTAATATCGATAAATCGAATAAAGCGAATATTTTTGTTGTTATTTTGTGACATTTATCCACATATTATTTCGTTTCAATTTCATTGTGTTTAAATGCTTATTTAAAATTATAAATAATCAGTTGTTTTTAAAAACAGCCTGTGTTGCATTTCGCAAGCGATGTTTCCTTCGTTGGCATATCATTAACACGATTGATTCCTCGATTGTCGTTAATCGCGTCATTTTTCGTTGTCCTTCGCCGCTCGAACTGCAAAAACAGTGCGCGTACCCTCACTCGAATTTGCGTGTTTCGAAAGACGCTCAAATGTCTTTCAGTTATCGCGCGCACATGTACGAGGATGCGTCGAGGCGACTCCTAGTTCCTTCGAGTTTAAATTTTTAACTCGCTTTCGCGCGTGCCGCTGTGCCAACGCTGTGAACTTTTGTCGCGGCGAAAACTGGTGTTTTATCGAGTGTTGTTCTGAGTATTCCGACTATCAAGAACTATCGTGAGATCGTCGACAACGAGAGGAAGTGGCTCGGACCGGAAAACCGACCGTGTCTGCAGAAAATGAACGGCGTGCAACGAATGCCCAGCGACGCGTTCGACGCCAAGGTGAGTTTATTTATTTATTCAAACGTCTGGCGGATTAGCATTTTTCAAACATTGTCCGTGTAGTAGATTTATGCAAATGTCCATTTAACACTCTGCAACATTCCTCAATAATTAAATATTGTTACAAATCAATTTGAGTAATGTTGTACTATGTCATACAGTATGAATATAGCCAGTTTTGCGTGGAGAAACACGCGACGATCTGTGACCGAAATATTTTACGAAAAAACAAAATGCAAAAATTACGACGCGATCTGCTCCAAATGCGTCTCGATTTACGAGGTTATCGTCGGTCGATGGAACAAACCAAAGCGGCGAAGGTTATTTAAAAAGCATCGTTTAACATGTGTATACGTAATCGAGTCGACCTTGGCCCGCGTAACCCAGTATATACGATGCCCTTGTATGGGGTCGTTACATCTCGCAACAGCGAATCATACCCAATTTCTATGGTTGTTTAGACATTGTTTCCGCCTGTTTCTCATCTCGCGTTGAATACATTTTTTTCCCTCCATTTTTCCGCAATGACTTGTCCTTGACAAGCATTCTTTTTTTTTTTCAACGTAAATCAATATCAATTAAAATCATCCAACCGCACATCGATCGCCAATTTTCGACTTTAACATCCTACTTTCATAATTCGTTTTTTTTCTTTCTTTCTTTCTTTCTTTTTTTTTTTTACGTTGGCACAGAAGATAAGAAATTGATCGTCGTCAAACACTCTTGGTCCCATTCGAGGAAACGGAATGTCCTCGGTTACTAAGAGGACATCGATCGCGTCTAGATTTATACCGTGCAACCTCGCGTGTAATTTTTTTCTCACGGAATAGTTGGTGGAAACGCAATGTTTCCCCAACGGGCATATTGCAAAATATCGCGTTTTCGAATATTTTTATCGAAATTATTTGGGAAAAAAGAAAAGGAAAAAAAAAAAAAAAGAATCAAATATGGATATATATTTGTCGTCGTAAATAATTCGTTATCAGGGACAGAGGACACAGACAACAGAAACGAAGATAGATAGATGGATAGATCGGTGGTGAAAAATTCGATGGGTTAGAGAAGAGAGGAAAAAAAAAAATTGAAAGTAGGAGAGACGACAAAGGAAATGCGTATAGGTTGGTCTCTCCTCGCCACAAATACGAGCAGGGTTCACCCACTTTCCTGTCTGCCAAGGTGGCCACCGAGAGAGCATTACCATTCGGTAAGGGGCACGGTAGTATGCGTATACGTGCGCGTCGAACATAACGTGCAATTAGGTGTCTTAACGCCGAGGCCGGTGTACCGAGGTAACGCGATACCTATACCCGGCCTATGGCAACGCGACTCCATCGAGTCTGATTCGAGCTGGCCGACACGCTAGCGTCGATTTCAACCTCCAGGCTTGTGTCTCGTTGTATTTAGAATACTCTCTTTTTTTTCTTTTTTTTTTTTTTCTTTTTAGACCCTTGGATTTTCACGCTCGAAAGGTTTCACGGTCGTTTTACGTACGGATTTGAATGGATTTTCGTTTGCCGTGCAACGGATTTAAATTCAACGCTATCTATGTTCGCGATTCTTGAGAATAGATATTCTTTTAGCAAAGTAAGAACGATTCCTCCGTACACGAGACGAGTTTGCAACGAGAAGAAGAAGAAAAAAAAAAGAAATAGTGTCACGAAGAGAGCACGTTTGCTTCGAAGAGAGATCTCCGAAATGTTGTTTACGCAGGCCAGTTGGACGATAACGTTACCCCTAGAGAGGAAGTTGGTGTAACCGATATAAATAGCGTTGACGAATGCCGTGCAATCTCGTAACGCGATCGCCTCGCGATTTCTTGCGCTTTTTGCTCCTCCGTTTCGCCGGCCGAATAATAAGCGGCTCTCGATCGAGCCGCTCGATCTATTAGATCGGTTCGGCCAGAAGTTCGATAGATCCGTCCCATCTCTCACTATGTTCAAAATCATTACGTACGTGTCGGCGTTGCGCAACCAAGCTTTATCTACGGGGACGGGAATCGGTTGAAAAAAGTTGACTCATTCGTTAAAAACCCTCGAATCACGCGTTCCTTCGACGAGTTCTTCTTGGAAGACGAAGCTAACATTTTTGCCACGAATTGTTTCGAAGGATTCGAAAATACAGGCATTTCGAGATTGCAAACCGGTGTTTCGGGGAAAATTTGATTCTTCTCGTAAGTCAAAATTGAAACGGATGATGTACACGGTGTTCGCGTGGTTTGCTCGTCGGCCGATTTCGCAACGGTTTATTCGTTTTCCCGTCACGACATTTCGCCCGATGCTCGTTCACCGTGGCGACCGAGCCACGTCTAATTAAACGGGTACACACGGAACGATTCCGTTTCGATATTTCGCGTAGACATCTCTTACCGCAAGGTCTCGCGTTATTAAGATGCAATAAACCAGTCGCGCGTGCTGCGGTGCCACGCTCGAAGGCTGCTCTATGCTCGAAAGCCCGAGTGAAAGCAATTCCCCATTCGCTTCTACTCCTACTTTTTTTTTTTCCTTTCTTTCTTTCTTTCTTTTTCCCCGTTCGCGGGCAAAATTTTTCCCATTCGAACTTTGAGTTTCGCGTTACCCACGAGACTTTCACGTGGCCGCGCCGAACGAAAATCACTTACGTGACCGAAATCGAAAATCACAGGTTCGATAATCTCGAGTATTCGTCGCGTTTCCGTGTTTAGCTCGACCGCCGTCAAGAAGAAAAAGAAAGAAAAAAAGAAAAGGGAAGGAGAGGAATAGGAGAGAAAAATCTATCATTGTTGCCTTACGAAATTGAAGCGATAAAACTCACGATCGATCATCGGTTTCCCTCTCGGGACAGGCCTCTATTAATCTTATTTCGCAAACGGCAGCCGCAAATCGCGAGATATACGGCGTATTTAAGCGAACGGCTCATTTGCCGCAATTAGGTCAATTATTATCATTTGGTGGAACGAGTCGTAAACCGAGGCGCGAGTTTCTCGCTACGCGCGGGTAGACAACATTAGGAAACACGAGGTACGATTTGCGCCGTTTCTCCTCCTCTCTTCTCTCTCTCTTTTCTTTTTCTTTTTTTTTTTTTTTACGATTCATCGTGCTCCCGATTATGCTCTCCGACGCGTTCTTAATCCGCGCGTCTCAACTCGCGGCACGAAAAGAAATCGGCGTACCGCGAACGATGCATCGCGACCAAGTTCCGCGGTATTGCGACCTCATAACTTCCGCTGCGCGCGCCAGCGAAAGTAGGATAACTCGCGAGCGTGAACCGCCGCGTCACGTGTAATTTCCCCCTCCCCCCTCGTTCTCAGTGCTCTTTGCGTGGTATAAAAAGAAGAAGAGGAAGAAGAAGAAGAAGAAGACGAAGAAAAGAAAAGGAACAGGGTAAGAGGAACGCCCTTAGAATTAGTATCGTCCGGATAATTCTCCCGACTGTATGACTGTAATTCAACCGGTCGAACGAGAAAGAGAGTGGTATATGCCTCGTGGCCTCGAGCATCCAGATTATCCAAAAGCGACTGAATGGCTGGCAAACAAGTTGTCTAACGAAAGAGGGAGCAAGGTTTACGATCTACTACGTCCCCATTCTTGGGAAACGAATTTCTGATTGAACGCGTCGCGCGTGAATCTGATTCAGTTTCGAAAGATGCGATCTCTTCTGCGGATGGAAGGCGAGGGAGGGGGGGGAGTAAAACGAACGTCTTGGACGGAGAATCGTGCCAATGTTGCGCGTCGTGTTTTCATTTACGGTTAAACGAGTTCTCGAACGACGAACATGGTTACCGCCATGTTGGCCATAGAATCATCGGCTACGAAACGAGCCGATCAACGCTATACACGGGGGACACGCGATCCCATTGCCTTTCGAAACGGTGCCTCGTCGATTATTTCACGTCGACAGGAATCTGCCAGCCCCGGTTTCGATATCAATTATCAGTTACACGCGTGACACGCGTAATTTGCTCGAACGCGTCTCTCCTTCTTCTCTTTCTTTTCTCTCTCTCTCTCTTTCTCTCTCTTTCTTTCTTTCTTCCACGATTTATGTCTTCATCCGTTCGATGGCAACGCTTCATCATCGACGCGATCGCATTTGTACGACAAATAGGACGAGAGAGATACAGAGGAGCGTTTCGCAAGTAGATCGATCGCGTGTCTATCTTTCTTTCTTTTCTTCTTCTTCTTCTTCTTCTTTTTGCAAATTAGCACCTCGAGCGAACCGCAGACCCGCCACGTTTGTCGTCACCCATCCATCGAACGATCGGTTGGGCATTCGCTTCTAGAATTCTAGAAGAGATGGTCGAGTTAATAGAACGTAGCCAAGAACGTGTTGCTGCGTATAATTTATTGGAAGGAAAATCGGTTGAGACAGAAAAGGCAGAGATCGACTTCTGTTGGATTTCAGTTAGATGATTACACGTGTACCTGTTATCGAACAGATTTCAATTAACGAAGACCGACGATCGAGGCAAGTAATTGCCAGTAATAAAACAAACCTCGGCTCTTCTGTCTTCAAATAGGTGGTGTCGATCTTTTTATCCCGGCTGAAACGAGCGTAGTTTCACGGCGAGTTAAATGGTTTCGCTTGTTAATTTTCCATAAACGTTGAACGAGTGTCGCCGCCGCGATGAAATTTGCAGGGTGAAGATGAAAGAAAACCGTTTACGAACCGTTTATCAGTGTGGAACGGTGTCGAGGCAAGGAGAAAAATATTTTCCCTCTCCCTCTTTCGTTTTTCCTTTCCTCTTTCCTTGTCGAGGGAAATCCACAAATATCGCGCAAAGTGGAATGCTTCGAGACAACGTTCGCGTGTTTGTCGGCAGTGTCGAGCTCCTCTGGGAATCGCGTGACTCCCGTGGGATGCTTACCTAATACTCAAGAAGGATTCATAATGTAACGTGGCCAATGTTGGCTAAGTATATGTATATATATATATATATATAAAATCCCACGAGACGTGTTAACCGAACGAGATGGATGGAACTATTGTGATTCAGGAGTGGCCGATTAATTCATTCGAATCATGAT